ATAGAATAGCACTTATTAATATTTTATACGTTTTAATTTAACTTTATTTTTTGTATTTCCTTCATCGTATAATCGAATAAGTTGTAAATATATTTTTCATCGCTAACATTATTTAATTTAACAAATGTATACTTTTTTTTATATATTGATGAAGTTTTTATACTAAATATATCGATCTATTTTTATTAATACAGCACGTACACAACATGAAATATAGGAATATTAACAATTTTATATCATAAAGAATTATATTCGTTAATAATTAGCTTATAAACTTTTCGAATTTTGTTTTCGATTAAAATTTTATAAAATATAAGATACATAAAAATATTACACATTTTAGACACGTTTTCCGTATACATAATAAATAACATATTAATTTATAATAAATTAATTTATGACATTTTAGTGCATATATTTATTTATAATTTCAATACATCAACTTAGATCTTTATCGTTGTCTGATATATACAAATACGTATTCTTATAGTATGAATTTAGTCAATCCTTTTTATATTCTGTGTTTTGTTTATATACATACGAAAGATTGTACGTATTCTAACAAATTATGTGTAAATTGTATTTCTTATTGAATTTAATACTTAAATTTATTATGTATATTTTTTTAATATTTTATATATATTAATGTATTAAATAATTTATTTACTGAATGTATAATTGAACTAATTAATAACAAAATGGAAGAAATTATTAATTTCCTTATTTTCAGTAAAATATTTAACTTTATATTTTTTCTTATTATGTAACATTATCTTAACTATGATGTAAAATTACGATAGTTAAAGTGTATACTGTTGTTATAAGTTTTATTTTTTAGGGACACAATTTCATAATGTAGACAAATATATATTTATACTTAAATTATGCTATTTTTATTATTCAAACACATTTTTCGTGTATTTTTATTTTAAGGAAAAACAGACTAACATTAAGATGTTTCATAATCAATGAATAAAATATTTACCACATAAGATAATATATTAAGAATATAATCAAGACTAGCATAATAAGAATAAAAATTTAATGAATAAGAAACACATATGTCCATAGAACTTAAAAAAAATGAAATAATGACAATTACCATAAAAATATGTAAACTCAAGTAATTGGATATAACGTAAATAATAAATTACATCAGATACGACATATATTAACTTTGAAAATTATAACTAGATATTCTGAAAAAGATATATTTTAAATTTATAATTTAACTGATAAAATGTTAAGAACAATAATATATAATGATATTAAGTATGAAATGTCCAAATGCATACATCTTGCTTCTATTTTTGTTTTACTTTATATTATATGGGGGAAAAATTTTTTTTTCTTTATAATAAATTATAAGAACAAAATAAATTACTTATTGATTCGATAATAATGTCTTTATTATCATTTCCATGGTTATTAATATTCTCATCAAAGTACTTAGAAATAAATTTTTCCAAACAAGGGCATGTATTTAATATAAATTATTATTCTAACTCTTTCAATTAGTTATATAAATAGTCTATAGAATCTTATAATAAAATAATTGATATCGCATGAATAATAATGTTTTAATACATTTTTTATAGGGCTATAATAAATATATAATCTTCAATATTTATGTATTCAATTTTATTATATATATATAATTCACGATAATATTATGCTGTCTTATGAAGTTTTTATTTTTACAACATATATCTTCTACAATTTTATCCATTAATTTTATTATCACAATAATGGATTTGAAATTTAATAAAATTTTTATTATGATAAATATATACACACAATTATTTGATCCTATTAGCCTCAAAATTATATTATTATTAGTACCACTTTACTAATAATATGCAATTCCATTGGGACATTAAAGTATTTATATAAATTATTGTTGTTATAAAAAAGCATTGGTAAAATCATTCCATCTTTACTTTACTATTATATGTGCTACAATTTTTACCTCAAATTTCCTTCTATATTTATACATCTGATAAATGGTGAAATATTTATATCCTTATACTGTAACAATAAATACGTCTAATTTGGTGTTTTAGAAAAAATAATAGTAATTTTTTTATTTACAATTCTTTTTAACATATGAATAAATATAACACACATAATTCTTATAAAATGTGTAAATAATGAATGATTATTGCTATAATTATATTGCTAAAATATAATAATTTTATTATAGAAAGGATATAGTAATATATCATACGTCACAAAAGATCCTCATCAATATTTCTATAATGAATGTGAACATGCATGTAATAATAAAACTTCCAAATACTCTGTAATTAGAAAAAAGATCTTATAAATATTCTATATATTAAGTGGTATGTAAAAATAAATTATATATATGTTTATGTAGTAAAGACAATAATAGATATGCATACGATAAAAAAAGGAATAAAATTTATTTTTAATAAAACTAATAAGTATTTAATTTTCAAGGAAATATTGATCTAAATGAAAATTTATAATTACATTTCCTAAATTGTGTCCATATTATAGGTACAATATAAACATTGTATTCATTTATATTGAATTTTTATATACATCATAAAGAAATTTTCATAAATAACCTGCATATTAATTTTTAATATGATAAGTTTTTTTAAAATACATAAATAAAAAATTCGTTTAATTTTTATTTATTTGTATTTTTATTAAAGTAATAATTTATAGCATTTGTATCTGTGATACATA